TGTTCTGCGATGAGGCTCATTTTTGGCTTAACGGATATGTAAATAAACAAAACTGTCGCATTTGAAGTGATGAACAGCCACATGCCATACAAGAATTACCGATGCATCCCGAAAAAACGACAGTTTGGTGTGGTTTATGGGCTGGTGGCATCATCGGTCCATTTTTCTTCAAAGACGACCGTGGAAGAAACGTTACCGTCAACGGCGAACGATATCGAACCAGAACGATGATCTAAACTTGCCCCAGTTGGCCGAGTTGAGCTTGGTTGACATGTGGTTTCATCAAGACGGTGCCACATCCCACACAGCTCGTGAAACAATGGACATGTTGAAGGATGAATTTGGTGAGCAGCTTATCTCTCGAAATGGCCCTGTGAATTGGCTGCCAAGATCATGCGATTTGACGCCTCTGGATTATTTCTTGTGGGGTTATGTAAAGTCGTTAGTGTATGTGGACAAGCCGAACACGATTGAAGCCTTACAGGATAACATAACACGCGTAATTCGTGGGATACACGCAGAAGAGGAGAGACCTTCCGAATTGGACCATTTGAAACGGAGCCACGGAAAACATTTACATGAAGTTATCTTTAAAATGTAAAAAAATTGAATATATGATGCAAATTGAGTGTTTTAATTAAAAAAAAAAACTACGCTTAAAAAATCACCCATTAGTACTAGGTTTAAACCATGAACTTGAATAAACGTTATTACGAAAAGAAGTTTATCGCTAGTCCTAGAACTATCTATGGTATCAAAGTTAGACCATCGTGACCCCTAGTTTAACTATGGTACTAAATTGTCAAACGTCAAATTCTTAATTTTGTAGTTCGCTTTCGGAAAGGAACTTGTGATCAGGAAACCAAAAATGGATATTGATGCAATTGATATGTTTCATTTGGAAGATTTGGATGTGTTGGATATACTAGAAAGTTCCCGGGGACCGAACAGAGTTCGTCAGCGTCGAAATCCATTTGAATTACCTGGTGAAGATTTTCGGTATAAATATAGATTTAGTAAACGTTTTGGCGAAAGGATTGTCGATTTATTACGTGAGGATTTATCCCACGATCCTCGAGGATGTCCGTTAAGCCCCGAAATGCAAGTAGCTTGCGCACTACGCAACTGGGCTCGCCATGAAGTAAGTTGGTACCTTGTAATGTAATTGTTGTGCGTCATCAATTATGTATAATAATTGTTTTTTTTTACAGATTCAAGATGATACTAGTGACTTACATGGCGTATCTCAGCCAGTTATAAGTAATACTTGCAAGAAAGTGGCAGGAATTTTAGCGCGTATAGGTTTATAAAAATACATTGGATGAACAAGAAGCAGTGATGAGGAAATTTGGCAGTATTGCGGATTAGGATTGGGTGCAATTGATTGCACCCATATTCGTATTAAAAAAATAAGAACTGAGAGGGTCAGACATACATTAACAGAAAAGGTTTTTCATCAATCAATGTGCAGGTAACTTTGTTTTTTTTTTATTTATAATGGATACAAACAAAGCTTATTTTTTTTTTTTTTGTTGGTAATGTAATGCACTGTTAACATTCTTATGAAATAAATTGTAAAATAGAGTAAATTAATAAAAAATCTCCGTTCAGGTTGTTTGCAATGCTGATTTAAAAATCATGGATAGTGTAGCTCGGTGGCGTGGCAGTGTCTATGATTATAGAATCTTTAGGGAGTGTTGCGGTTTCCCTTCACTACGCTTGAGGCGCGCGGGGGCGTCTCCCTACGAGACACCGGTCGCCATATTGATAGGCCCTTTTGCTTGTCGGCACGCGTCGGGTGCGCATCGCCCGACGCGGAATATACATTTTATTTGTAATTTTCTACAATATACATCAGTTAAGTTCATCTGTCTCGTTATTCATTTATTTCTATCAGAACCACAGCCAAGCCGACACAATGAGCTATCGAACGTAACAGGGAGTGTCGCTTGAAGCAAAGATTTGAATCTGGAGCGTTTTCTGGCATCCTCTTAGGAGACAGTGGATATACAGTCTTAGTATATTATGGGATTTGATTGATGTCTGACTGCGATGAAAGTTTTATCTCCTGCTCGACTTCTGCCTCTGAAGGGGACTATGCCAGTGCGTTTAGTGACAATGATGATGGGAATTTGAAACACTTAAACACACAAATTCTTGACATTTTTGGTTCCCGCAAGTTTTTTAATGTAGTTCACATAAATGCTCCAAGTATTCACGCTCACTATCCTGACCTTTGTCCTTATTTCTGAAACATTTCTCAAACCTACGCTACCTTCTTCACAATATGCATTACCTGGTTATCAACTGATACGAAATGACATACATAGGCAAAGGATACGGTGGGGTAGCCATCTACCTCCGGTCTGACATCGTATTTAGGATCATCGATCAGTCCCCAAGTAATTACTCTGGTTTTGCTGAACATCTTTTCATTGAGGTTGATTTTCATCACACTAAATTCCTCGTAGGAACCTACTACAGCCCAAACTGCCATGTTGATTATTTCTCTTCCTTTGAAAGTAAACTTGAAAATCTATCCCCGTTATACAACGATACCGTGATTCTTAGGGATTTCAACACATGTCTTATTAGAAATGACGCGAGATGTCGAAAACTAAGGTCCCTTGTCTCTTCAGTCAACATTCATATTCTTCATCTGACTGCAACACATCATGCTCCTCACTGTACCCCTTCTCTTTTAGACTTAATTCTTGTCTCAGATCCCAATAAAGTTGCTGTGCATGGTCAACTTACTGCGCCTTTCTCATACCATGATCTTATCTTCCTCTCCTACAAAATCTGTTCTCCTAAACCTAAATCTAAATTAGTGTTTCTCCGTAGTTTAAGGAATATTAACACAGAAGATTTGAAAGGATGTGGAAAACATGGACTGGTCTCTTGTTTACAACTGTGCAGATCTAGATACTAAATTGGAAAGATTTAATAACATCCTACTGAATCTATACGCCAAACATGCCCCTCTAAAAAAAGTAAGACTAAAACATGGCTTTCAGAAAGAATCAAGCAATACATGTCCAAACGGGATAAGGCTAAACGAAAATACAGGAAAAATCCCTCTGAAGATAACTGGTCGGCCTACAAATCTCTTCGGAACCGCTGTAGTCGTCTGTGTCGAGATGCTAGAAGGCGCCACATTCATGACTCTATAAAAAATTTCAACACACCACAGGTACGGCAATTCCTAAAAACCCTTTGTATTGGTAAAACCGCTAACGACAGCGCACCTAACATAGATCTCAATGTGCTCAATAAGCATTTTTCCACACCACCGATCTTGGTAGGTGCTTCTGAAAAAACTTCTACTCTTAATCACCTCTCTAGTCTTCCTCTGCCACAATGTACCTCATTTATTTTCAACCCGATTACAGAAAATGACACGAAGAAACAGATCCTATCTATCTCTATGAAGGCAGCAGGTGATGATGGTATTCAACTACAAATGCTGCAACCTATTGTGGGTGGTCTCCTTCCAGTTGTCACTCACATTATCAACTACCCTCCAGGAAACTCTGTTTCCATTATCTTGGAAAAAAGCCCATGTAATTCCTCTGCCTAAAACTTCTAAACCTTCCTCGGTGTCCCAATTCCGCGCTATATCGATACTCCCGATCCTTTCTAAGGTGCTTGAGAGTACCGTACGGAGTCAACTGATCAGTTACCTTTCCTTTAATGGTCTGCTAAATCCATACCAATCTGGGTTTCGTTCAGGCCACATCACTGTAACAACCTTGGTCAAAATCACATATGACATTCGATTAACTATGGAGAACAAACTCCTTAAAATAATTACAAGAATTTTGACAAATGTGGTTTTTATCAAAACTTTCCCTTTAGTAGGCTCCCATTGCCCTATTCTCCCCTACTTCAACCCCGGGAGTATGTTGCGGTTTCCCTTCACTATGCTTGAGGCGCGCGGGGGCGCCTCCCTACGAGACACCGGTCGCCATATTCATCGGCCCTTTTGCTTGTCGGCACATTTTATTTGTAATTTTCTACAATATACATCAGTTAAGTTCATCTGTCTCGTTATTCATTTATTTCTATCAGAACCACAGCCAAGCCGACACAATGAGCTATCGAACGTAACAGGGAGTGTCGCTTGAAGAAAAGATTTGAATCTGGAGCGTTTTCTGCCATCCTCTTAAGGCTGGCGTCCTTTAGGGACGGATCGGGGCGGGTCGCATTGGAACGGGCCGCGGTTCTGTGATGCTCTTGCGACCATCTGTACGGGGCGCGGCGGACCGCCTAAGCGGATTTGATCTTACAGACGTGTTTTCGTGCTTGGACTGACATCGCGCTACCATGGACAGCTCCGACGAAGAGATGTTATGGTTTCAAATCCTTCTTGAGGAAGAGCAAAAAAATAAAAAACGACGACGAGTACACAAGGTGTGGGTGCATGATATATGCCAGAAAATAAATGTATTTGGTGAATACCATCATTTGTTTAACGATTTGAAGAAAGATCCAGTCAAATTCTTCGAGTATTTTCGAATGTGTTTTGGAAAATTTGAAACATTGCTTAATATATTACGTGAAGATTTACAGAAACAAACCACAAAATTTCGAAGGCCAATTGAACCAGAAGAACGACTATTTGTCTCAGGTAATTATGATTTTTTGACATCTGATAATAATTTTATTATAATTAATTATTGTTTACACAATGAGATCGTGCTTTACCTCCAATCTAAGAATCTGTCCTATACCCGAATAGGGGCATGGGTAAACCGCTATTGCTTGGCGGTAGTCTTTACAACTAGTATTATAAATACAAAAGTTTGGATGGATGGGTGTGTTACTCGATCACGCAAAAAGGCTGAACAGATTTAGATGAAATTTGGCACTCAGATAGTTTATTACCTGTATGAATACATAAACCACTTTATTTATGTGACAATAAAAAAATGAGTCATAATTAATCATATTTATTAGTAATTCCCAATAAAGTTAACATTAACATTACACAGTAACAATTATTTATTTTTTGGAAAATGCAGAAATTGTTCCATGATTTCAGAACCTTGTACATCATGTTCTTGTACTTCATAAACTTGTCCTTCATATACTTGTTGTGACGAGTTAGATAGCATCGATGCCGTAGTAGGTGATGCTTGAAATAATGCTTGTCCAGAGGTCCGTAAAGGTTGAATGGACGAGAATTGATTATTTTGACTTAAAATCACGGCTGCAACTGGCTGTTGATTTATGGTTTGCATATTTTGGGACTCTCTACTCGCATGCGATATATTATTTGTATCAACTTGTCTGCAAAACAAATCAGCCTCAGCATCGTTCACAATTTTAAACACCGCACCCTTAACCCGTATCTGAACATCTTTCGGGAATGTTGTGACTGTTTTCCCCAAGTTTGTGAAAAAATCTACCATAGTATCATGGCCTTGGTTAAGCGATTGATACTTTTTTTCTAAGTATGATTGGAACAGAGTTTGTGTCGGTGGAGGCGACTGAGAGATTCTGTCTGTCTTCTTCTTTTTGGTGATCCTACTCGAATCAGTTTCACTGACTTGGGATCTACTTATAGGTGGTGGTGACATGACTGATGATGAGTTTGATGATAGTGGTGACATGGCTTGTGAATCTGTTGCTGACCGTGGTGACAGGACTTGTTCATCATCACTCAAAGATGGCAAATTTGTTAAATTTTGTTGTGTCATTACATATAAAGGGAGAGAGAAAGCTGTTCTTTTTCAAATCGAATTGGTTTTATGTTAGTGGCTGCCTGGCCACTCTTCGTTAGACGTTGTTTTTTGGCGCGTCGATAATCATCGCGTATTCTCTTCCATCTCTCTTTACAATTTGCCGCTGGAACAAAATAAAAAGAATATCAGTCAACAAACATAGAAATGACTTCAATGAACTCTACGCTTATGGCAATGGATGAAGTGAGGTGCTCCAACTTCATTATTCATATCAAATCGCGTAACATTCACACAAGAAAAAAATAGAATTGAATTGAGAACCTCCTCTTTTTATGGCAGTCGGTTAATAAAATGTGCTTTTGTTTTAGGTTTTTGGCCACGGGGAATTCATTCAGGTCGCTGGCTTTTAATTATCGACTCGGAGAAAAAACAGTAAGATATATCGTTTATGAGACTTGCACGGCGATATGGAACAATATGAAAGTGCCTACACCTTCCGAAGAGGATTGGAAACAGATAGCAAGAAAATATTGGGAAAAATGGAATTTTCCTAATTGTATTGGAGCGCTGGATGGCAAACATGTTGTTATCGAATGCCCCGCAAATAGTGGCTCGAAGTATTTTTGTTATAAAAAAACATTTTCAATTGTTTTGTTGGCCTTAGTGGATGCTGACTACAGATTTACACTACTCGATATAGGTGGCCTTGGAAAGAATTCTGATGGCTGTTTATTTGCCAATTCTGTCGAGGGAAAATCATTGGCACTAAACAAATTAAATATACCTGATGACAAGGCACTGCCGGGTACCAAGGAAATTATGCCTTATGTTATAGTGAGAGACGCAGCCTTTCCGCTACAGAAACATTTAATGAGACCGTATCCTGGAAATCAATTAACGGACGAAGAAAAAAAATTTTTCAACTACCGACTAAGTAGGGCCCGCCGAACCAGCGAAAATGCTTTTGGTATATTAGCTAGAAGGTTTAGAATTTATGAAAGGCGGTTATCTATGACTCCTGAACATGTCAACATTGTTGTAGCGGCAACATGCTGTTTACATAACTTTTTGACAAATAGCCCATCGTATTGGTCACAAGATGATCTAAGAGAAACTGTGAACGAGGGACTAGTAAATTTACCAATTATTGGAGGTAATTCATCTCAAGTCGCTCTCGCAATTCGCAACAAATTCAAAAGTTATTTCGTATCTCGTGCAGGCTCATGTCCATGGCAAATGACAGTTGTGAACAGAGGATATCGCCACATAGACCGAGACCCAGATATGCAAGCGCAAGAAGAATAAATATAATTATAAATTAATAATAAGTTACTTATTATTGCGTAAAGTTTGATATACTTATAATATTTTAAAAATGTTTGAATAAAAACATAAACCGACTTCAATGAAGTCTTCGGTTGGAGGTGCTTTGAGGTGCTCCGACTCCAGTGAAGTCTGTTTATGTTTTTTTATTTAAACATTTTTATTTCACCATTTTTTCATGTGAAAGACTAATTTAAGTACACTTAACTCTCTGTATGATAATTAATAAACCGATTTTGATGAAACTTACAGTTTTCACTCAGTAGAATAATACCTAGTTTAACAAAAAAAAAGAATTACTTAAATCGGACTAGTAAGTATCGGAGATATGTGAGAACAAATATTGCACCTGTCTAATAATAATACACAATAACATTCCCTATCTCAAAAACGTTTGAACCGATTTTGATGAAGTTTGCACCATTCCCTAAGTTGAACAATACCTAGTACAACAAAAAAGAATTATTTAAATCGGACTTATACTTTTGGAGACGTGGACAAACATACAAACATACATACACTTTTGAAATTTGGCACAGGTCTATAATAGAAGCTGATATAGACTAACATATCCAAAAACTGGGCATTTCTGGCAATATTACATACATACGGGTCGAAAACCTATAATTTAAATGAATAGGTACTTACGTGTTTCATTCAAAATCTTTGCTATTTCTTGCCATATATTCATGCGCCGCTGCTCATCGTGATATCTAGGGTCTCCTAGATCATACAGTTCTCTATACTTTTGCACTAAAGAAATAAGCAGTTCTTCGTTCATTTTCGTTAATTTTTATTAGCACGGCACGTGCGCTCACATCCGCCTGCCTGCGTCGACTAGACGGATCGGGGCGGGTCGCAGCGCACCGCCGACAGAAATACGCCTGCGAAGCGATCCGCCAATGCGTTGCCGCCCGCCGCGCTCCGATCCGTCGCTAATAAACGATATTTCATACAAAACATAGCCAGGCGTATTTTTGCGTTGCGATGCGGCCCGACCCGATCCGCCTAGTGGACGCTAGCCTTTAGGAGACAGTGGATATCCGTGTATACCATACTTGTTTACCCCACTGCTGAACCCAAGATCAGAAGCAGGACAAAGGTATAACAGGAGCCATATCCGTACACGGAATGCTTTGGTCTGTGGAAACAACGTTTCCGCTGCCTACTAAGAGGCTTATATGGGGACATTGGAACAGCTAGGAAGACGATTGTAGCATGTGCAGTTCTTCACAACATAGCGATAGACATGCAGGTAGATTTATTGCCTGATGATGTCAGTAATGAGCAATCCTCTAGGGATTCAATACGTGCAGCCAATTCGAAATTCACTACGAGGGAATATTAGAAGAAGGCAGTTTATTGAAACTCAATTTTTTATAAAATAACATTTATTATATTTAACTATATTTCTTTTTTGTGATATTCATGTATGTATATGTTTAATACAAATATTATACGAATGCTAAATAAAAGCTTATGATCCTTTTTTCATAAAGATATTTATTAATAAATCAAACATAAATTAAAAGTAACTATTATATTTAAAAAATGCTAAAATCAGACCTATAATACTAATGATTATTATGGGGAATATATAACCAGAAGGGGTAGAAGTACCTGAAAATAATTATGTTATATTTTTATGTGTCAATATATTTGAAGTATTTTAATCAGTAGGAGATAGATTACATGAGTTATTTATTTGAAACTCTTGACTGAACAATTTATACTTATTTTAATTATGAATTGTATTGATATCAGTCAAAAAGTGTAACATACATTTTATTCTTTAGTAATGGTGTTAGTTTTTATCTGAGTCTCCAATAGTGCTATTTGTAATTGTAGCTTTTTAATTTTGATATTTCAACTTGATAGGAGTGATGGGCTTCCAACATGTCAAGCTGCTTTTTTTTAAATTCTGTATTACTATTTATAATAGCTTGACGCCCTTCTTCATTTCTGTAAAATAAATTCTATTTTATTATGTAATAATTTGACTTATTATTTTAGTGTGGTAAGCTTTATTTATATTTTCGTGGTTCCTTGATCGAAATAAAATATATTAAGTATTACCACATTTATTTTAACAAACCTATTTAGGGAGGCGGTTTTCCCTTTTTTCTTGTTTTTTTGGTTTATTTTCTTCTATTTCTTACACTACTTTTTGTTTGCACGGTTTCACTGGTGTAGATGACTGAAAATAATAAATAATATTAATCAAACTAACCTGTATTTTTTCTTATAATGAAATTATTATACATTGTTTTTCTTCAATACTGGACTCTACATTTTCATCACTTATAATCACTACAATTGGTTCTATTGAGCTATGGCCAGCATCAGGGTCTTCAACTATTGTTGTTGTTGTATTTGTCATCTGTAACAGGTAAATGTTTAGTAAATTGTCATCATATTATACTCTCCACTATTGTTAACTTTTACTTACCACTGCATCACTGTCACAGTCACTCACGTCTACAACAAAGTCATGAGGAGCAATAGCCATGACTCCAGGTCCTCTGGAGAAGGTGACGGGGGCTTGTTGCCGCCTCCTGTTCTAGACTGCTCTCTCCTGTGAAGAGACAAGTTTGCCTTGGCTGCCAACTTCATTCTCTTACAAGCCAACTTTATCTCTTCTACAGAACAATTTTTTGCGGCGATTTCATTTAGTCTGAAAAAAAAACATGTCCACGATATCGTAATATAGCAAAAAATAATTAAGTATTTACTTATTTGTTAAATTTTTCCATTCTCGTTGTTGGCACAATGGCTTGCCGCCTTTGCCGGCCATTCCCGCGTGAACCTGCGCACACCTCGCTTACTGCTTCCCGAGCCATTACACAAAATCCATCATTGTCGACAAAAAAAACAAGACGCGCGCCTAGCGCGTCTTTTTTTTTCTTTTTAAAGACAACTCCCGCATTAGGAATAAATCCTGTGTCGCGATATTTCAACTCAGTAAAGTGCTATAAATGTGCCTTAGTTATTTCATTCATAATCTACAACACTCGTGTTTTTAACATATTTATGTTAGTTTTCGTCGACTTATCTTCAAATATTTTAGCCGACTCGGCAATAAGTTGACGCAGTATATTCTAGAATGAAGTTTGCATTAATGTGGCATAGGTACATAGTTTATTTCATCAAATACTGTGTGTACGTAATCTAATATGTCAGTTACCTATCACTTATTTTCACTAACCTCTTCTTCTGAACTCCAATTTTCACCCCTTTTTTTCTTTGCGTGTACCATTTTCTTATGCAAAGAAAAATATGTTGACCCACCGAAAGAAGATTGGATACAATGTGGGATCTGTCAAGAGTGGACACATGAAGCTTGTTCTTCATATTCGGGACGCGGTTCATATTTTTGCGACGATTGTTTTGATTAACCCTAGAAAGATAACGTGCGCCTCGGAGGCGCCCGCGAAACGGATATTTCTTTCCACTTTTCTGTTGTCACGTTTCTTGTTGTTTCAGGCACAGATGTAAACTTCAATTTGCTCCATAGTACTTTACAAACTTGTTCCACTATCTTTATAATTGTCGATTTTCCAAGACGGTATCCATAATGCAAATCAGCGAAAGAGCAGCCTGTGGTCAAGTATCTGTCAAAATAAAAATGGTGATTGTTTATTTTCAGGTGGTACACCTATTGGCGGCGAGCGCGTTGCGAAGCGCGCTCGCTTCCAGGGAGCACAGGGAACATGGGGTTCCCACACGGGGGGGGGGGGGGGGGGTCGTCTACTCGTCTGTAGATGACCCGAGGTATGTCGGGGCACCAGGGACTTCCTTTCTAGGGTATACCTGGTTCCCCGGCTATTAGTACCCGGCGAAGGCGTGCGGTTTTAGTCGGTTCGGGTCCGACATGCCACCGACAGGAAAAAAAGGTGGAGAAAAAAAAAAAAAAAAAAAAAAAAAAAAAAACAATGGTGGTACACTTATGAAAAAATGGAAAAGCATTCTGGACAATTATCATAGGGAGTCTAAGAGGCAAAAAAAGGTTCCATCTCCAAACATACGCCGTACGTGTATTACAGGAAATTACAATTTCTTGCGAATTCTACAGCATATAACGACACAGAGAGCTTAGATCGCTCAATGCAAGATTTACGAAATAACAAAAACCGGTTTGGTGGTGCAATGATACTATTGGCAGGTGATTTTCGACAAATATTGCCAGTTGTTGCACGCTCAACGCCAGCTGATGAACTAAATGCATGTTTGAAGTCGTCCATTTTATGGAAATACATTAAACCACTTAAATTGAGTATAAACATGAGAGTCGAATTGCAGGAAGACCAGTCTGGAGAAGGGTTTTCCAAACAACTGCTCGATATTGGTATTGGTATTGGTCGATATTGGATACATCATCTGGATACATAACATTCCCTACCAATTTTTGTAACTTTTGTGAATCAAAGACCGAACTCATGGAGATGGTTTTCCCAAACATTGCTCAAAATTACGTAAATCACGTTTGGTTAAGCGAACGTGTTATTTTGGCCGCAAAAAATGTTGATGTGAACGAAATGAATTTTCAGATTCAAGAGAAAATAGCTGGCGAATTGAAGAATTACAAATCAGTTGATTCCGTTACTAATGAAGATGAAGTTGTCAATTATCCAACAGAATTTTTAAATTCGCTGGAATTGCCCGGCTGACCACCTCATAATCTGCAAGTAAAAATCGGATCAGTAATTATTATGTTACGGAACATAAACCAGCCACGTCTGTGTAATGGCACCCGGCTTGCGGTAAAGAAATTATTGAACAATGTCATCGAAGCCACAATTTTGAAAGGGAAGTACAAAGGCGAAGATGTTTTAATCCCACGCATCCCTATGATACCGAACGACATGCCATTCAGCTTTAAGCGTTTACAGTTTCCAGTGCGGCTTGCATTTGCAAGGTCAATAAATAAATCGCAAGGGCAGTCGCTAAGTGTATGTGGCATCAACCTCGAAAATCCATGTTTTTCACATGGCCAATTATATGTCGCCTGTTCCCGTGTCGGAAAACCATCAACATTATTTATTTACGCGCCAGAACATAAAACTAAAAATATAGTTTATCAAAAAGCATTAGAGTAGAGAGAAGCAGTGAAGGGTACAGAGACTATTAGTTGCTTTCTAGAGCGCCCGTGAATTGCGCGTGATTGAGCTCAGTGTTTACTTAAAAATGCCAAGTTGTTCAATAGCGATTTGTAAAAACATTATAGTGGAATTATTGAATCATATGGAATAAACACTATTATGAAAATATATATTTTGTTTTTTTATTTAATTAAATTAGTAAGGTCCTTTTCAGGTATAGCGAGACCAGGGAATTATGGATTCATTTTTATATGGAGGACATTATAGATTCCAGTTCAAATTGAATAGGTACTCATACCTAAGATAGGTCAGCTATACAAAATAAAGTAGTGCATCATTGCTACGCTAAGGCGGTACGAAGTTCGCCGGGTCAGCTAGTTAGTGAATAAAGTGCATTTATTTTGCTACTTTTTCCTCAAAAGGTGTAAAATAAGTGTTGGTGCGGCATATTACGGGTTATTTGCATTGACAAGAATGCCCGAACAACTCAAAAATGCGCGTGCCGCCTGTAAGGCGACAGTGACTCGAATACAGAACTATATCATGAAGCCTACCAACCTTACATTCGCGACGGTGGACATTTTAGAAGCTCGCAAAGATAAATTAGTGTCAGCCTTAAAGAGCTACGAAGGTATTCAGATAGATATTTTGAGTTTGGATGGCGAGGATGCAGAGGATGTGGGTGAGTTCGAAGAAAAGTTTTTTAACACAATTGCTAGGATTAACGAAACTATACGTATGCTTACTAAAAACGAGACCCCACAAACTAGCTGTATGTCGGCATCTTAACTCCCAAATGTTGATATTCCGACATTTGATGGAAAAGATTTTACTAAATTTAAACCATTTTATGAACTTTTTATGGCAGTCATTGACAATAACAAAACCTTAACGGATGTTCAAAAGTTATTTTATTTAAGGACATATCTTGAGGAGGAGGCATTATCTGTTATTATCAACCTGCCTTTGGTATCCACCTCATATAAAGAGGCTTTACAATTGTTGAAAAAACGAACGAAACGAAAAACGACAATAAAACAAGATTAATTTGCAACCACATAAACTTACTGGACATTCCACCAATAACAAAAGGGACAACGACCTCCATAAGGACCTTTGTCTCTCAAACTAAACAACAGTTATATGCCTTAAAAAATCTTGATGAACCAGTTGATAACTGGGATCGTCTTTTGCTTTGTGTCCTTTCAAAAAAATTGGATTTATTTACTCACAGAGCTTTTCATTTGGACAGAAATCCTGAACTTTTGCCAACGATGGTAGAATTTTTAGCCTTTTTAGAAAAACGTGCTATGGCGTTGGAGGATACTATCCCCGTAAAAGGGCAACCATGTGAATATAAACCTAAACCTGCAGTGCGGGTCAGTAATATATCAGCACATTCCAATGCACCTATTGTAACAAAGCTGATTTTTAATTGCCCCAAATTTAAAATGGTCCCTATAGAGACACGTTTGACCTTTGTAAATGGTTCTCAAATCGTTCTTGCCTGGATACAGTCAGGTACAGTCAAGTCCAATGCTTACGTCAATAATAGAGTTCAGAAAATTGTTAAACTCACTGATAAATCTTCATGGTCGTATGTACGATCTTGTAACAATCCTGCAGATATTATCTCACGCGGTATAGAAGCCCAAAAATTACAGGAGAAAGTTGTTTGGTGGCATGGTCCACAATTTTTACTAAACTCCGACATGAAAGATAATAATATATCTGAATATATTGATTTAAATCAATTTTATACTCCTGACTCTCCTTCCGAGGAAATTCCTTGCTTATACTCTAGCAATACACAACACTCTTCCTCTCACTTTACTTGAGAAATTCTCAGATGTAAAAAATTGCAAAATGTAGTTGCATACATTTATAGATTTTTCAACAATGCTTCTAAGAAACAGATAATTAAAGATGCAACTTTAACTCCTAAGGAGTTAGAGGCTGCTTTGTTGATTGTTGTCCGCTTAGTGCAAGGAGAACATTTCTGTCATGACATATCCTCTATTGTTAAGGGCAACAAATTAAAGTCTGGTATTGCTAGTCTGAATCCTTTTGTAGACGCACAAGGCGTCCTTCGCGTGGGTGGTAGGTTGCAAAATGCTGCCTTCCCCAAGATAAAATGCACCCTATTATACTCCCAAAAAATTGTAATATTACAATTTTAATTATCAAAAGAGAGCACCTTCGCTTATTGCATGCTGGTCCAAGATTAGTACTCAGTTCACTATCCCAGAAGTTCTGGATAATTAGTGGTATCCGTGAGGTAAAGAAGGTTTTACACAAATGTTTGAAATGTGCACGTTTGAAGGCTGATACTGCCAGGCAGCTAATGGGTTCTTTGCCTGTGGAACGTATCACCGCTAGTAGGCCTTTTCAGCATGTAGGTATTGACTTTTAATATGAAAGTGGCAAGAATTCGAAAGCCACTCGTGACTAAGGGTTATGTTGCACTATTTGTCTGCCTCTGCACTAAAGCTGTGCACGCAGAATTTGTATCAGATCTTACAACCGCAACCGTTTTGGCATGCTTCGATCGCTTTATATCAAGGCGAGGTATGCCTTTTTTTTTTTTTTTGACGTGTGGAAATCCTTTCGGACACAATCGGCGGGGCGGTGTGTCGGACTCGAACCGACTAAAACCACACGGTGTGCCCTCTTTGCGCTTCCAGTTTAGGAGGGGTCCAGGTAGCTATCTCCTTCTGGACCCCTCCCAGCGCCGGCCCGCTCCTGGTGCGGGCTCCGTCTCCAATTATCCTCTCTTTAGGCGACGTCCGGCACACGCGGACGCCGCCCCCTCGCGGCTGGCCAAACTAATGCGGGTGGAGGGGAGAACCCATCCCGTCCACCCGCGGCCACACTCAGGGCGGCATGAGGCCGAGGTGAGCGCGCTTCCGCCGCCCGGTTCGCCGGCGGCGGATCAGGTCCGAGTGGAGGTCGTCCTCCCGGGGCTTCTCCGCCGCCTCCTTCTGCGAGATTACCTCCTGGCAGAAGGTTGCGACCGCGGTAAAACAACTGTCGCTACCGGCCATGGAGCGAATTACGGCCGGTAGCGAGAGATCTGCTCCGATGACTGCAGTGAGGGCCCGGCGCTGCGTCGCCCATGCGGGGCAAACCGAAAGCGTGTGCTGGGCCAAATCCTCACTGCAGTCGCAGTGGTGGCAGGCGGGACTCGATTCCCTCCTAGCGACCGAGTACAGGTACTTTCCGAAGCAACCGTGCCCGGAAAGCACCTGCGTCAGCCGGAAGGAAAGGGTCCCGTGCTGCCGCCCTGCCCACTCGGCGATGACCGGCTGGAGAGCCTCCACGGCGGCGAAGTCAGCGCGTGGAGTCTCCAGCCGGAACGACCATCTGACCATGATGGCTCGGCGAGCGGCTTCGCGCCACTCGCGCACGTCTTCGGGCGGAGGGCGAAATCCGCTCTCCGCCCGGAAGTCAGCCACTCGCCGATAAACTTCGGCGAGCACTTCCGCCTCCAAATCCCACGGGGGTGTTCCGGCCAAGGTGCAAGCCGCCTCGGTGGACACCGTGCGGTATCCGCGTATGGCTCTGACCGCCAATATCCTCTGGGAAGGCGAGGTATGCCTACCAAGGTCTTTTGCGATAATGCAAAAACATTTAAGGGTGCTGAGAATCAATTAAAAGAATTGTATGATTTACATTCCTCAAAAGCTCATACTCTGTTTACAATTATTGTAACAAAAATTATATAAAATTTATGTATATACCCAGTTACTCCCCTGAGTTTGGAGGCTTATGGGAAGCAGGGGTCAAGAGCGTCAAGCATCATCTTAAACGTACCGTTGGTACTCTCTGTTTGACCTACGAAGCGTTTAACACTGTCATTGTGCAGAACTCTAGACGGCTCCTTGCCAACCCCAGTGAAGGTGGATACCTTACCCCGGGCCATTTTCTAATTGGTACGGCTTTGTCAAGTTACCCCGAGGTGGACTTATTGGAAGTTCCAATAAACAGTTTAAAACTCTAGAAAATAATCTCCAAATTAAAGCAAGATTTCTGGAAGACTTGGTCTCGTGATTAACGCAACTGTATCTTTGAAATGTGATAGAAAATTGCCTTTGGAAAAAACTACTATGGCATGCTTGAATATTAGTATCAAAATCTGGGAAGTATCTCATCTAGATGAACCTTTGCTACTAAGTTTCGTTGCAAATTCTCATGACAACAAGGCTATGTTCAAGTTCCCAGAGCTGACTCATATGAAGTCAAGAGAGTTTGCTTGTAATGGAGTTGCTCAATAAAAAAAAAAAAAAATTGTCTCCGAAGAAAAAGGCGGAGCGTGCTCTAATGGACGCACCTAAAATGGACCCACCTGTTTTATAAGCAGTCAATAGATTAGAAACTTTGGCTCAAACTATCCGTCAAGATGAATACCTACGAGTTCACTCTCAGAGTATACACGCTATACTTCGACTCCAGAAGCCGAAGCTACTACTTCCCGAAACCAAGCTTTTCAAAACCAGCGTGAAACTTCGACTCCCGAAGCTTCCACTTCTAGAAGACACCTCGATTATGAAGAAGACTATTTTGCCAGCTGTTTACTTACACAAGAAAATACGGGGCAACAATACGGAGTGAACGACGATATTCTATCTCAAGCTGTTAGGTCATGCTTAGATGAAAACACAATGGAAAATTTATAAATTAATCGTTTATAATTAATTACTAGTTTCACTTACCATAATGAACTCCTGTAAAACATTGTATATAGCATCCAAAACATCCTTCAAAAACAAGGAAATTGTGCACTCTGGAACTCTAAATGACTCTGCAAGACTTGAATAGTTATCACCGGTAGCCAAGAACTTCAGGGTTATTTCTAATTTAATTTTCGGAGAAAGTGCTACCCGCATATTTTTGTATAAGCGGAGTAACCTTATGTAGTAAAGTATTAAACTGATCAGTAGTCATTCTTAATCGTTTTTTAAAATAATCGTATAAATAAACATTACGTTTTCTTCTTTCCTTTTGTTTTTTCTTCACTCTTTGTTCTTTAAGCAATTGTTGAATAATTGAATAATTTATTATTTCAATTCCGGCACAAACGGCTTTTCTGCTCAACATTTTCGATGGAAATGACAGAGCCGCATGCGATTTTAGTAACCAATGTAAATAGGCTAGCGTTGCGGCTTGGTGAGGCAATTAGTGAAGCGACTCGCCGCACGGCGAAAATCGACCCGTGTAAACCCCCCTTTAGAGTAAACAGTGTATCTACTTATTTTCCAGATGAACATAATTTGATTGATCACAATTATTCTTTACCACCAACTGCCTTAGAAGATTCTTCTGATGCCACTAATAGAACAATTATTATTGGTGAGTTCTAGTAATTATATATATTTTTACTTAATACTTAAAATGCAAAAATCTTTTTACTTTACTTTTTATTTATAAGATGACTGTTTTTATTTTCATTACTAACACTTTTGTCAAGATTCAGTAAAATTGTACAAATTGCTGAAGTTTACTGATCATTCTATATCATTTAATATAATACAACGACAACAAAGTAATCCTATTTTATAAAAAATAATCACTCCCTCAGTTCTTATTATTTGTCTTGAAAATAATTTACTGTAATCTTATTTTCAGCTGAGGACTACAAGAATGATCACAATTATTCATTAAAATATGATGTGGAACCATCAACTAGTTCGATGATTGCTGGTATGTGGTATAAAACAATAACAGATGCCTAATTCTTTTATTCTTTTGTTATACATCTACCGAACCATTAGTTTTCTCAAAAATAATTGGTTTAATAATTAATTGAAATATTATTTACAGCTGAACACCATGAAAATGATGATAATCTAAAAAATGATGGGGAATCATCAACCAGTCCAAAAGTTATGGGTACGTTGAAATAATATCAGTTGAACAATTATTATTTTTTATACATCAAAATAACTCCACTTTTCATTATAAAGGTGAAGGTTATATGAGTTATAACTCCTATTAACCATTTCCTACCACACCCAAATATTGCCATCGATTGTTGTGTGTAATTTAATATACTAATTATACATATCCTATGTATGGCCATCTGATCTCAAACTACACATAGCCTGTACTACGGGAACCAGACTGCTGATAAACATATTTATATATTTTTAAATATATTAGAAAAGAAAATTAGAGCCCTAAGTATTTTAAACAATTGATTTATTATTTATGCTATTTTTAGATTTGACTCGCATGGTAGAGAAACCACAAATAGAAAAAGCACCAGAAAGGTCTCTTTTGAAACGAAGAGGTACAGTAGTTTTTTTAACACATTACTTTAGAGCTACATAAATAATACATATACATACAGACTTTTGTGAAATATAATAATTAAACTATATAAATTTATTATTATACAGATACAAAATTGGCAAGAAAATGTAGGTGCTTTATCAGAACAACCAAAAAAATGGCTTACAAGCAAAACAAGATGAAAAATTCATTTTCCAGAAGATTGGAAGCTGCGAAAAGTCTTTCTCAAGACCGCCTTTTTAATAATTTTTTTAAAAAAATGACGAATATGGCACAAGATTTTCTGCTCATGCAGTTGAAGATGGCAGACAAAAAGAAGAAAGCAATGAGATACTCCACACATGAGAAGTGTTGGAAATACAATGTAATTACACTGTTACATTTATTTTTTAAGTTGGCAACAATGCTAGATTTTTTCTTTTTTTTACTCCATGTGTCATGGCGGATAAGTTACTACTGTCTTGTGCGTGTGTAAAATTACAGTTGTTAAAATAATACAAAACATTGAACATTTGAAAACTGCATTATTTATTTAAGTATCTCATCAGGTTATGGGCCCAGTCACATATCCATCGAAATAAATAATACAGGAAGTTGTGAAAAAAATTTGCGGCTTGTTAAACTGAGGTTAAAGAGCGTGCGTGGAATTGTTCAAGATGGACGTAAACTTAAATAATAACAGCTTGTTGAAGCTGGAAGGATCTAACAACTGGAACATCTGGAAATTTCAAACAACAGTTTTGTTACGAGGTCAAGGTTGGCTAGATGTTGTCGAAGGAAAAGTTCTGACACCCAAAGATCCCACGGAACGCACCGCTTGGGAGACTAAAGATGCGAAGGCACAAACACTTTTAGTGACGAGAATGACTGAAAAAGTAATGTTACATATTATTTCGTGTTCTACTTCAGCTGAAATGTGGAGGAAGCTGCAGAGTGTTTATGAGCAGAAAACAGAAACAAATATTCATATGATTCAGCAGCGCTTCTTTCAATATAAATTTGAAGCAGGCATTGAAATGTCTACATTCCTATCTAAGATCCAGGAAATGCAAAATCAACTTAAACAGATGGGAGAAGATGTCTCAGAAAAATTTGTAATAACTAAGGTGTTAATGTCGTTACCGGAAGAATATAAACATTTTATTTCAGCTTGGGAATCAGCCCCAGACGAAAGACAAACTATGGATAATTTAGTCGCAAGATTACTAGTTGAAGAGGAAAGGGTTAAAGAGAAAAGTGGACAGTCTTCATCTTCAGGCTCGTCGGCTTTCCTTGTTAAGGATAAAAAGAATATAAAGTGTTTTAAATGTAACAAGATGGGACATTTCCAAAGTGAATGTAAAAGTAATAACAACAATAAATGCAAAAGTGAAGGACAGAATAACAAGTGCTTTTATTGTGGAAAGACTGGACATAACAAATCGCAGTGTTGGTTTAAGAAGAATAAAGAACAGAAGAAAAGTAATGCATTTGTGGTGTCAAATTCATTGAAAGAACTTGGTCAATCTCAGTGGTTAGTGGACACAGGTGCCAGTGAACACATGTGCCGTGATCGTGAACTATTTACATCATTTACCAGCACGGAACAAGAATCTGTTATTGTTGGTAATGGTGCAGCGATTAGTGTTCTCGGTTATGGACAGATGGCGGTAGAGGTTTATGACGGAAGCGAATGGGTTTACACAACCATGGACAAAGTGCTGTTTGTTCCAGAATTAAAAACAAATTTATTTTCTGTAAACTGTGTGTCTGACAAAGGTTATGTCATGTTGACAGATGAACATTCATGTAAATTCTACAAAAACAATAAAATCTGTGCAATTGCAAATCGAGTTGGAAGCTCATATTACTTGGAGTTACGCTATAAGAATAAAGCGGCGAATGTGGCTAAGAAAGTTAAATGTACACTGCAAGAGTGGCACGAAAGATTAGCACACCAAAACTTTGAGTATGTAAGAAAAATACTGTTGAAAAATAACATTGAGGTGAAGTCAACTTCGGCTACAAAATGTGAGAGCTGTTTACAAGGAAAAATACATAGGTTGCCGTTTGGAAATAGTGAAACTGTTACTGTGAAAACTTGCGAATTAATTCATGCTGATACCTGCGGCCCGATGGAGGTTACGTCAGTCGGCGGATCAAGATACTTTGTTATCTTGAAAGATGACTTCTCAAACTATAGAACTGTGTACTTTGTTAAGAATAAATTCGAGATAAAGAATTGTATTGAAGACTTTGTTAACAAGACAGAAAATGTGACCGGAAATAAAGTAAAGATGTTCAGAACGGATAATGGTCTCGAGTTTATAAATAAGGAAGTTAAAGAATTATTTACTAAGCACGGCATACTACATCAAACAAGTGTTCCCTACACTCCAGAACAAAACGGAAAGGCGGAACGAGAGAATCGTACACTAGTTGAAGCAGCCCGAACAATGTTGAATGCATGCAAGGATTTACCAAAATCACTATGGGCTGAGGCTATAAACACAGCTGCATTTGTTCTAAATAGAACCGGAAGAAGTAAACACAGTGAAAAATCGCCCTATGAGGTGTGGTTTGGAAAAGATTTTGACATTCATCAATTAAAACCATTTGGAACCCCAGTGTACGCTCATATTCCAAAAGAAAAGAGAAAGAAATGGGATAGCAAAGGTGAAAAAGGAATTATGGTTGGATATGGAGAAACTGTTAAAGGATATAGAATATATTTCCCCAATAAGAATAATGTAGAAATAAAGAGAGATGTAGTCTTCTTAGAATATGAGCGAACCGATAATGAACTTGAAATTAAATTGAACTGCACACAAGAAAATGATGACAAGTCTAATGAGTTACTTGATGAACCAGGAACTATATCACCTGATCCTAATGAAACCATGGTGACTGATGGACAACTTTCAGAAGAGTATGAATCGGAGTATATACCAAGTGACGACAGTGACAGTTCAGTGGAGTCAATTGTTAAGGTATATCAAAGAGAACCCAGCAAGCGGGTAAAGAAACCACCTGTCTACTATCAATGTCAAAATGTGCATACCGAACAAAGTGAACCAGTTACTTATGCAGAGGCGATGATGAGGAGTGACAGCACAAAATGGAAGGAGGCAATCGATAGAGAAATGCAAACACTATTAGAAAATAATACTTGGGAAGTATGTGATGCACCAGAAACTCAAAAGGTTGTAAGTAGCAAATGGGTGTTTAAAATAAAAAGTGGTGATCAAGGTTTTCCTCAATATAAAGCTAGGTTAGTGGCTAGAGGGTTCGAACAAGATGACTTTTTAGACTTAAGTGACTGTTATGCTCCTGTTGCAAAATTGTCAACGGTCAGGCTTTTTATAATAATTGCAACTAAACTGAATTTGCCAATAATTCAAATGGATGTGACCGGTGCTTTTCTGTATGGCAATATTAATGAAAGTGTTTATGTTAGCTTGCCAGAAGGAGCATATTCATGTAATAATAACATTGTAAAATTGAATAAATCACTTTATGGTCTCAAAAATTCTCCAAAATGTTGGAATACTAAATTTAATGATATTATGATTAAAGAAGGGTTTGTAAGATCAAACTGTGACTATTGTCTTTATACAAAGTGTTCTGATAATGACCAAACTTATCTGTTGTTATATGTTGATGATGTTTTGTTATTTGGATCAAATGATTGTTTAGTAAAGGAAGTTAAAAGGGTATTAAGTAAGGAATTTAAAATGAAAGATTTAGGATTTGTAACTGATTACTTAGGTATTACTATAAAACAAAATTTAGATACTGGAATTACTGAACTGAGCCAAAGAAAGTATTTGGAAAATGTATTGAAAAGATTTGGAATGTTGAATTGTAAGCCCATGTCTACACCAATAGATCAGAATATTAATGTAAAGTTGTTTCAAAATGATGGTACAGTTGATAAAAACATTGAACGATTATGTAGACAAATAATAGGATGTCTAATGTATGCTGTATCTGGTACTAGACCTGATTTATGTTTTCCCCTGTCTTTATTAAGCAGATATCAAAAATGTGCAAATGATGCATTGTTGAGTACTTTGAAAAGAGTACTGCGTTATGTCAAACATACCCTAGATTTTAAATTAGTTTATAAATGCACTGATAATGTTTTAGAGGGGTACTGTGATGCAGACTGGGGAGGCGATCTTAAAGATAGAAGATCAACTACAGGCTACTTGTTCAAATTTTCTGATTGTTTAATTTCTTGGAGCTCAAAGAAACAAGTGTCTGTAAGTTTATCTTCTACCGAGTCTGAATATGTTGCCATTAGTATGGCTGCTAGTGAAGCCTGTTGGCTGGTTAATTTGTTAAAAGATTTTAATATAAATAATGTATGTCCAGTTTCTATCTACTGTGACAATCAGTCAGCTATATCTGTTGCTTGCACTGATACTGTCAAACGATTAAAACATGTTGATATCCGTTATCACTTTATAAAAGAATTAATTAAGAGTAAAAAGTTGTGTTTAAAATATGTTAAAACGAGTGATCAACCTGCAGATATGCTTACAAAGTCTTTAAGTGGAACATTGATGACTCGTTTCTTAGGGAAATGTGGTATAGGTAATATTGAACTGATATAATACTTATGTTATGTACTAGTTGGTTACATAGGTGCAATTACATTGAGCGGGGGTGTTGGAAATACAATGTAATTACACTGTTACATTTATTTTTTAAGTTGGCAACAATGCTAGATTTTTTCTTTTTTTTACTCCATGTGTCATGGCGGATAAGTTACTACTGTCTTGTGCGTGTGTAAAATTACAGTTGTTAAAATAATACAAAACATTGAACATTTGAAAACTGCATTATTTATTTAAGTATCTCATCAAGAAGCTTTTGTCCTTATCTTTAATGAAGGAAAGTCCTAAAGGATATAGACTACTACAAAAAATATTTAACTTGCCAAGTAATAGGACGCTAAACGAAAATATTTTTGATTTATTGAAGCATAAAGTGAGGAAATGGGACATCAAAAACAAATTATGCTCTATTTTATTTGACGAAGTAGCACTGTCACCCCATCTCACATATGTTGAGGCACAAGATCAAATAATAGGCTTTAAAGATTTTGGGAATGAGCGCCAATTTAAATACTGTGATCATGCACTAGTATTCATGATCAAAGGTATTTGTTCACACTAGCCTATTTCCTTTTAATTCTGTGAGGGAACTACTGCTGCTGCCACAGTTACACAGATATTAAAGGAAGTAGTATCCAAAATCTCGCAGTCAGGGTTAATACCACTAGCGATAGTATGTGACCAAGGCTCAACGTTTGGAACAGCTATAAATATGCTGAAGACAGATACTGACCGCAAAAGAAATTTAAATGGGGAACATAATGGTAAGTAGATGCCTGCGCTTCTCATTTATTGCAAAATTTGTTACTGTCGTCCTTTAAATTAACATTATCTAATAAATAACTTTTGATTTGCAGATGGAACTCTTGAGATAGCAGGCCAACAATTAAGTGTGGTGTATGATCCACCACATCTACTTAAGGGCCTTAGAAATAACCTGCTTACAAAAGATATGGTTTTCAAAGGCAAGGTTGCTTCTTGGGAAGATATCTTAACAGTATTCAATGCTGATTGTCAACTAGGCCACACAAGAATGAACAAAAAACTAACTGAGCACCATCTTTATTCCAAAAAAATGAATGAAGGTTAGTGTGGCTGCCCGAGCGCTGAGTACAACAACGAGCGCAATGCTCAAAAACACTGCATTATAACCACAGCAACAGGTGAAATCGTTAGTGAGACAATGGCTACGACTGGAGAAGCAGTGGAATTCGTGGATAGGCTCTTTGACAGCATCAATAGATCACAGAGAGGCACTGTTAAGGGAAAGTTACGAGGACCAATAAAGCCAAACTCATAACACTTTGAGTTTTGGCAAGAAGCTAAAACAATACTAAAAAATATTAAATTTATAGACAACAAAAGTAAGAGAGCACGAAAAAATAATAAAACGTATAAGATCCGAGTTCCTTCCCTTGACGGATGGATTACAACGATAGAAAGTTTTGAAAGGTTGTTCAAGCTCTTGTTTGAAAAGTATGGAGTAGTATATTATTATCCTAGAAATATTAATCAGGATACTTTAGAAAATTTTTTTGGCAGGATCAGAGCAATCAACTACAGAATTGTCAATCCTGATGCGAGTACTTTCGTTAATTGTTTTAAATCCCTATTAATGTCCAATGTTATTGGTCCACACTCAATGTATTCTAATTGTGAGGAGCATGAAGGAGTCACGGTGCTTGATTTTTTAAAATTTCTGACAAGTAGTTACAAAGAGACAGACGATAGTAATAAAGAAAATGTCCCGTGTATTACGAAAAGTAGTAGCATCAACCAGTCGCTAAATGCTGCGAATGAAAGAATACGTGTGCACTCTTCAGCATATACAGCAGGATATGACTGGAAGAGAATGCCCTGGGCATTAAGTCCGCCGATGTACAAAAGTGCATAAAGATGAATAAATAAATAAATAAAAATATATGTAGGAGACTGACAAGCAAATTTAATTGTAAGCATTGCTCTGATACATATGTTGTAAAAGAAATAGACACTATTCATAAATGGATTGAACAACGAGAGTACAATCTTTTGAAACATTCAAATTTAACATATCCATCAAAGAAATTTTAAATATTGTAGAGGGATATCTCGGGTCTTATACACAACTATTTAAATAAGTTCGCATACCAAAAATATTTGAAAAAACAGTTAATTTTTTATTTTATTTTATTTTATTTTATTGAGATGAGATATTTAAAAGCCATGACTTGAAATGGTTTGGGTGCCCTGAACATAACAAAATTGCAAAGGAATGGCTAATAGGTTTAGTTTTAAGAATACATATTCACAACTGGAGCAATATAAAAAACAAAATTTTGAAAGGGGGCATCCAAGAGAGGCTTGTGGAGCGAATGGGTTCACCGCAACAAATGGCCTATGAAAAATATAAGGTTAAGAGAAAAGAAAAATCTACTTCCTAGTCCTTTCCCACGGCGCCAAGACATTCTTTCAAGGGCTGTCGTATCAGATGAATTCTTCTTCAGAAGCTTCGTCATACTGGCTCATCATGTCAAAGGATGTCGTCCTCGGCCTCTTTTGCCTTCTAGTAGGCAAGAGCCACCTCTAGTGCGGCAGTAGGCGTTGTGCGCATACAGCCAGTGACCGCGGAGCATGGGAGTCGCTGGAATTGCTGCAGGTCAACAATTAAGTGTGGAGTATGATCCTCCACATCTACTTAAGGCTCCTTAATAATAACCTGCTTACAAAAATGTATGGTTTTTAAAGGCAAGGTTGCTTCTTGGGCAGACAGTATTCAATGTTGATTGCCAACTAGGCCACATAAGAATGAACAAAAAACTAACTGAGCACCACTTTTATTTGTATGGCTTATGGTATGGTATAATAATTATTTTTTTTGAAACTACTATTCTTGACTTATTTCCTGCCATTCATAAATATACAAGTACACAATTTTACCATTTGACTCCAGCTCTCATATACCTTCAACAGGTTATGGGCCCAGGTACGTCAAAAAAAAGAGCGGATTACAGAGATAATAGTCGACTTAGAAAGTTAAAAAGAAATGGCGTCCGAAACACGAGTTTGTATTTTACCCAAACTAACAAATGAAAACTACGCAAATTGGAAGTTCCGTGTACAATGCTTGCTAGAAGAGAAAAAGCTATCCGAAGTTACAAAAAACCATTACAGCTGAAGAAAGAAACAAGGAAGATGACGCAAAGGCGCGATCATTGATTGTACAATGTATTCCAGATAGATATTTAGACATAATTAAAGATTCTAACACAGCTGGTGATATGTTAAAGAAATTAGATGAAGTATTTCAAAGAAAGAGTGTGTTCTCCAAGTTACATTTGCGAAGAAAACTACTTTCTTTAAAGCTGGGAGACAACAAGATGGAAGAATATTTATACAAATTTGAATCCCTAATAAGAGAACTAGAAAACTTAGATAAAAAGGTTGATGAAGAAGACAAAATATGTTAATTACTGATGGGACTACCAGAATCATACAACACCGTCATAACAGCTATTGAAACTATCTCGGAGAAGGTGACTCTAGACTTTGTGAAAACGAGACTATTAGATGAAGAACTAAAGAAAGTAACATCCAACACACAAGAACCTGAAACAATCTTTACAGCCAATGTGGAATGCTATAGATGTTATATAAAAGGGCATATTGCCAAAAATTGTAAGAAAAATAACTTTAGAGGTCGCCGAATGAGAGGTCGAGCTACAGGCCATAGCGCAAACTATGTGACAAATGACAAGTGGAGTGTTATAGCTATTAACAATGAGTTGGAATGTAACATAGCAGATCTTAATAACACAATAAAGTTCATAATAGACTCAGGTGCAACGGAAAACATAATAAAAGAAGAATATGAAAATTGTATGCATAATATCAAAGAGCTAGATCACACTATAAATATTAAAATGGCAAATGGAAACATAATGGAAGCTAAGAAAAGTGGTGAAATTACCATAAAAAGTCAAGGCACATAGATGAATATTCAATGCATAATAGTACCAGGAATAGCTCACAACTTATTATCTGTGAAAAAGATGTCTCAAAAAGGACTTCAAGTGCTATTTAGCAAGTATGGTATACAAATTAAAAACAAAGGACAAGTGTGGAGATCAAAGAATTCAAACCCACTTTATATATTAGAAAGAATCATATTAGAATCTGAGCTATGTAATGCAGCCGTGGATGATGAAGGAATATTATGGCATAGAAGACTAGGACATGTAAACAGGAAGAGCTTATTGAAAATGAAACTACCAGTAACTAATAAGGTATGTGATGCATGTATGCAAGGAAAGTCAGTGAGAAAACCATTCTTACCTACAGCAAAGACACAATCAAATAGAGTTGGAGAGCTTATACACACAGATATAGCAGGACCTATAAATCCAGAGTCACAAGAAGGATATAGATACATGATGACAGTGATAGATGACTATTCCCACTATGTTGTGATATACTTACTAAGAAACAAGTCAGAAGCCAGTGAAAAACTAATAGATTATATAAATATGTATAAAAAACAAAAGGAAAATTATATAAAAAGAATTAGATGTGACAATGGTGGTGAGTACAACTCTAATATGTTTAGACAGTTCTGTAAACAAAAAGGTATCAACATTGAACATACTCAACCATACAGTCCTCAGCAAAATGGAAAAGCAGAGAGAATGAATCGCACCATTTTTGACAAAGCAAGGACAATGATCATTGAATCTAACCTACCTAAATACCTGTGGACCGAAGCTGTAATGTGTACGGCATATCAGCTCAATCGCTGCCCATCGAAGGCTATTCATTTCAAAATACCCTGTCAAGTATATAAAAGAGATATGACCTTAGACAAACTAAGAGTGTTTGGTGCTAAAGGATGGATGGTAACAATAGCCAGAAAAGATAAGAGAGTTGTCAGAGAGAGCAAAATCAATTCGAATGGTTGGTTATTCTTATAATGGATATAGACTATGGGATCCAATAACAGAGGAGATTACAGTATCGAGAGATGTAAAATTTAACGAGAAAGATATCAGATATGAGAAAGAAAACTTAATTAAGGAAAATAATGATAATAAAATTATATATCAATAAATAAGAGATAATAATGGTACTGAACAAATGAATCAGTATACAAAAATACAACCTACATACAGTAACAAAATAATTCAAGAGAAGCAAGATCAGGGACTAAACAATCTAGATAATGAGAGTATAACAAGTGAAAAACAAACTAGAAATGATGGCAGACCAAAACGGCAGAGTAAGAAACCTGAGAGGTATAATGAGTACATTACAGATTTTGCCTACGCTATGAGCGCAGATGTGCCAACATGCTATGAAGAAGCTATTAAAGATAGAGATTGGATAGAAGCAATAAATAAGGAGATAAAAACATTACAAGATATGGAAGTATGGACAGAAAGTAAGTTACCAATAAATGAGAAAGTGATAGATACTAAATGGATATTTAAGTCAAAATCAGATGGTACAAAGAAAGCTAGACTTGTTGCGAGAGGATTCCAACAAGAAATTGAAGATCTGGACCTATACTCGCCAGTAGCAAAGATGACGTCAATAAGACTGTTCTTATCCCAAGCTGCAATAAACAACTGGGAGCTGAGACAACTTGATATACCTTCAGCTTTCCTAAATGGTACTCTTAAAACCGATGTGTATATAGAACCACCAAAAGGAGTACAAATGAAAACTGATAGAAATGTATTAAAGCTAAAAAAGGCCTTGTATGGTCTGAAAGAATCACCGAAAGTTTGGAACAGTACTCTAAATAGTTTCTACAAAGAAAAGTTACAAATGTAAAGATCAGCATATGATGTATGTTTATATAAAGGCATGAACATATGGTCAATCGTATTTGTTGATGATATACTACTGACTGGACAGAAAGACCAGATAGAATATGTAATTAAATGTTTGAAACAAGAATTTGAAGCAAAAGATCTTGGTAAAGTTAAAAGTTTTTTAGGTATAGATATAACAAGGAATGAAAACACTTTAGAAATATCTCAAACTAAGTTTATTAATGGATTGTTACAGTATTACAATATGAGCACATGTAAATCTTCAAAGACTCCAATGGAA